GTTTTCTTTGAAAGCCACTAAAAGCAGAGGGAGAGCAGAGCATGCACCACTGTACACATTGCATAGTATATGGTACCCACATGCCTGGTCGGGTGCTACACACACAGGGTCTATAGGGCAAAACAAAGGGAAAATCAGCAGAGAACACAAATTTGGGGTGGGTTTGTCCCAGTAAAGGCAGGAATGTMTTCACCAGCGTGACTCCAAACTGGCTCCCAGTGAGGCAGCACTGCCAGGCTCACTGGGAACCAGTCTGGCTGAGAGACAGATTTTCTGGGATCTGAGAAGCCCAAGGTCTGGAGTTTGCAGTTGGAATGGCTGATCCCAACATTCTCCCCGCTCTGGTTACACACAATCTGCACTTTGCTGACTGAAGAGAATCAAATCAGGTGTGTCCCAACCCTAAACACACCTGGGCCCACACACRCATTCCTTACCCTCCCTTCCCTTTAGATTCTCAATTCTCAGCAATTTTTGGGGGCTGTGACACTGTTCTCTCCCTCATCTCCAAGCTCCAGATCCCCACAAACATCTCCTGGGAGAGCTTCATTCCCGACCTTGGGCTACATCCCAAATCTACACGCTGGCCAAAATTAAAGTCATTAACGTGATTTCAGCTTCCAGGAGGAAATCAGCAGAAATGAATGCAGTGGGCTTTGTGATTTTAAGAGGTTYGTTTTGTTGTCATTAATTAATTAATATGGAAGGGATACAAGTTATTGAAAAATCAATCCCATGTGCAAAATGCCAAAATCAACTGCTGAARTATCAGGCAGCGAGTAAACAGATCAAAAATGCAATAAATCCACTGATGCTGGATCCGAAATCTCCCCCTTGGTTCCAAACACACGATGCCAGATGCAGGAGTGGAATTACTGGAATTATTGGGAATTTGTGCTATTACAAATGTGCTTCTTTTCCCTTGCTCTGTTCTTACACCGTTGGCCAAAGAGATCACTTGGAGCTCTGTGGATGCTCTGCTGTGCCTGCAGAGCAGATTKAACACGGGGATGGTGCAATTAATGAGTTTGTTTTTCAGGCAATATTGATAAGGCAGGGTAGGACAGGAGGGGACATTCCTGGGTGGGATGTCCAGACAGGAACTCTGCCAAGGAATCCAGGGATTCCCAAATTCCCAAAGCAGGGCTGTGAACCATCCTGAGGCCAAGCCAAGGCTGCTCCCAGTGTAAAAGGAATAAAGGAGTGACACTCATCATCACTTGAAATGATTTCCATCTCCTCCCCAAATTCTCTACGTGGATTTAATCACAATATTTCTCCTGACTTTTTGAACGGATTYCACACAGAAAAAAGAAAATCTGAAATTTCTAAGTAGCATTTCCACCTCTTTCTCTGAGTTAATTTGTTACATGTATTTTACAACTTTATTAAAAAATCCCTTTAATGTTAAAGACATACCTTTATTTTTCAATAAAAAATAAAACTGGGCTTGATAACACCCTCACCAAGGTTATTCAAAYGACACCACACTGTCTTTTAGGATCATTTTAACTCCATTTCCCCAGAGCTAAGCTTGGCTGCATTACAGGGCCCTGAATCCTGTGGATCCAAACCTGGACTGGCACCAACAGGGGTAGCAGAACCTCATTTTAAAAGGCCCATTTTTAGGAGCAAACTCAGGTTTGTATAAATGGCATTTTATRAAATATAAATCCAATTTTGTCATCTGTGATCTCCAATTATTTTGCCTCGAATAAACATTTGGAGTGTGGGATCAAGGACAAGTTCAGGAAGTACTGAACTCCTGAAAGAAAATCCAGCAGAGGACACATTTAATGCATTATTAAAGAACCCCTGACTTACCCAAATCAGTGTGCTGTGAACAACAGGATTAACAACATTATTTTGGAATGGTGAAGTCAGGAAGGACAGGAGATTCTGGGCTGCTCCAGGGAATTCTGTAGCATTGAGACCAAACTGAATTCAGACGATTTGGCATCAAACCGAAATTACAAATATCAGCAGCTGTGAGTTGCACATCCCAGGAGAGAAATGTTTGGCATCAGGAAAAGAATCTGTACACGTTAAATACGACTCCAGGGAGAAAGTATTTGAAATTYAAAGGTTAACAATTCAAATAATTGATTCACAAACATAAGAGTGTGCTGAATTTTCTCTTTAGAGATTGTTGTTATCACCTTGATTGGTTAAATCCTTGTTAATCCYGAAGTGTCCGAATGAGAGACTCAGATAACAACAGAACTTAGAAAAATCCCTCTTTTATAAACATTTCTAAACCCTCTGTTTGTACCAGAGCTTAGGAACAGAGCTCTGGTYTTTAACTGTATTTTAATAACAAGAAATGATGTGAGGCCTGGAGAATGAGGCTGGATAGCCTCAGTCAGAAATACCTGAACTCCACAAATTAAAGCACAGCMGATCTGCTCAGCAGTGCTGGAATCCCAGCAGGAATATGGAATTCCCAACCCAGATCCCCAGCACAGCTTTCACTCCTTGCTGTGTCCTGAACACAAATTCCCTTTTCAAACAGACTGCCCACAGTATCTGCAATATATGAACAGTCTCCCAGCATGGCTGAGGTATTTGCACTGAAGGAAATATCTCTTTTCGAAGAATTTAACACCCARCAAGGAGGGAGAGCTGCAGGGCCCCTGGTTCCTTATATGACAATGGAATGGGCTCTGGGAGAGACACCCAGGAGTCAAGTCAGCTTAACTCCATGGAATAAAGGCCCTCACGAGCTCGTTTTTGTCAAACCCAAGTTGTTTTGGCACTTGAGATGTTTCAGGTGATGGGATTGTGCAGGTGGGCGGTGGCTGGGGATCCTTCCCTCGCCTGCTGYGACATGGAAGACTTCAAACAAGGCTCCAAAGGCTCTAGGAAATCCCAATATGCAAATATGCAAATCTCCTCAAGCAGTTAATGAGCTGATCCCTAATCTACTGCAGGATACAGAGAAGCAGCTGCTGGCCAGGGTTCCACAGCTCCCCTGTGATGCACAAACGAGGGGCTCAAAGCTCAGAGAAGAATGGGAACGCCTCCTTTCTCATGCAGGGCTGTGTGTGCTGTACRTGGAAAAAGGGCTGGAAAACTTCCTGGAGGATGCTCCACCGTGCTGAAGCACAAAATCCTGGAGGAGGCAATCCCAGGCCGGGTCCTGCCAYGCTCCCTCAACCTCTGAGCTCCTCTGGCGTCTGCAGCCGGAGGGAATCGCAGGATCAGATCTGGCAGATCCATCCAGAACTCGGGGACTCCAGTGGATACAGAGATTTCAATATTTTCCTTGGTAACTGGTCCATTTGGATCATCCAGTGGTGCTGGAGCTGCCTGTTAGGCAGGGGGGTCATTGAAATAATTCATCAACCTTTCAATCTGCTGGAGATGGGCGTGGAGATGATCCCACAAAGGACAGGGATTCCTTTTCCCAGTAATTTCAAGGGATAATCAGACTCCAGGATGGTGGAAACACCCAGTGGTCTTTGCCAACTGGTCCAGGAAGCAGAAGAAACTGGAATATTCCAGAAATTCCTTTAGTGCTACATGCTGTCAAAGCCTGGGTTCAGCAGGCTTTGGGAGGAAAACAAGCAAATAATAAAGTTAATGATCCTTATTTTTGGGGGAAAAAAATAGTTTTGACATGAACCTGCACAAACARATGCGTGTTCAGCATAATTGTGTCAATTCCAGGGAATGTGTGTGGCAGGGAATTCCAGGAGGCTCTGCTGGAAGATGGTRGTGATTGTACAAAATGGGCTCCATTTTCCATCCCGTGGGATCTAAGGCTTCGCTGATGGTGTAAAACACAGGGTCCAACCACAGGAATTCATCTCTCTGAAGGAACTCAGGACTCAGCAGGTGAAAGAAATGGTTGTTGGGAAGTAAGGCAGCAATATCTCCAAGGATTTATCATAGCTCTTGGAATCCAAAACTCAGAATCAGCTCTACGACTTCCCTGGGAGCAGATTTTTGTCTGATATTCCCTTTTTATTGCAATTCTGACCATGATGTTGTTTTGAAATGTTCATCACTGATGAGCATCTAACCCCACTCCCTCCCCTCGGATTTCATGGTTGGAATGGATCTTCTGGAGAGTTTTTGTGCGCTGATGGAGTTGTCAGACATTCCGAGGTGGATTTGGGAAGATGGAATCTGTAGGCAGCTACTCGGGGTACTGGGATGTAGGAACTCTACACATTGGGTAAGAGGAGCAGATTGTTTTTCATTTAAAAAGCAGGAGAAAAAATGGGACAAAAATCTGATGTCTCTACACTCTGTTCCATTTTGGGACTTCTAGCTGTATTCAGGTAAAAGAGAGGAAAAAAAAACTATTCCCAACCTCCAAGCACATAAACGATGGAGTTTGTTCCTTTTCCTGTCCCTATTTCCCGTCTCCTGTCGCAGTTCCTCCCTGCCAGTCCCGACAAAACTGTCAGGACTGGCTGAACTCAAGAATCATTTGGCTGCAACATTCATGCCAGGTCTAAAAATAATTTCAAACTGGAAAGCGTTTTGTAACTGCTGCAATAATTTGGGATATTTGGCACTCTCGAGAGTTTACATTTGGTTTGTCTGAAAAAGCCATTCTGGAAAGAAATCGTTAGAATAAATCCTTTCATTCTAACCTGAAATGGAAATTGAGCTCCCAGCAAACAAATACTGGAGCTGACTTTCTGGCTTCCAGTGGTTTGTAATTTTCAGATTTTTCTTTGTGTTTGTTTTTTTTTTTTTCCCAACATGCTCACGTCGACTTTCCAGTCAATTCACCCAAATTCCAACAGGAATTGGTTTATAAATTGGTTCCAACTGGAACTGGTCATTTGGAATTTCCAGCACAGGAAATTATTTTATAAGTGCCTCGATAAGTACCCGAAATTACAAACGGATGTGTCTAATACCTAACGACGAGAAAAAAAAAAAATAATACGGCTATAAATGCAAATGCTGTTATTAAACCCAAAAAATAATCCCAAAAACAACCTCTATGATCGGGCAGAAACGGAAGGGCCGGGCCGGGTTGTGTCGCCCTCGAATGAAACAACGATGGAGGCCAAGCGGGGCGGTGGCACCCGCCGGGTGAACGCGATCCTACGGTTACTCCTGGCTACGATGGCGAGGTACCAACGCACGGATCCGCTTCTCCCCGGCTTCCCCGGCCTCAGAGCCGGTGCCGCGAGTCGTGGCTGTACCCGCCGGGGGAGCCGCGGGTCCGGTGCGGTTTGTACGAGTCCTGGTAGGGGTCGGAGTATTCCTCTTCCACGAGGGGATAGTGGTCTCGGCTGTGCTGGGAACTGGAAGACAAGCGGTTCCTGCTCTTCCGAGCCCTCTCGTTGTGGTAGTTCTCGTCGGAGGTCAYGAGGCTGCGGCGCTCGACGGGAGAGCTCTCCGCGGAGTGGCCGCCGTGCCTCCCGCGCTGGCTCTGCGGGGGCCAAACAAGGGCAGCGTTAATTCCTGTACCGGGGGTTTATCCCGGTTCAGCTCCTGCTCACCCTGGCTCCAGCCCCGGCCGTCCAGCAGCCGCCTCCTSGGGGCCGTGGGGTGGCCAAGGCCGGCTGCTGCAGGGCCATGAGCGCACCGGCCCCGGTGCCGCAGCGGGAGCAGGAGCGCGGGCTCGCCCTGCGCGCATCGCAGCGAGCATGAAAAGTGAGCTGATGTAGTCAGCATTTATCACTTTTCTCTGATCAGGAACATTCACGCTGCTAACTCTGCTTAGGGAATGTATAAGCGTTTTATTTCTGTGCTTTTGGAAAACATCTGAGATGTTTGTTTGGGCTGTTTTTAAAGGTGCAGCTCTGAGCCTTACTTCAAACCCTTCCTGTGACCTCAGCAGGCAGCCAAGGGGAGGCTAAAATGATGAGATAATAACAAATTCTTTCAACTGAATCACAGTATTTGAAATATGCTGGGGACAGAAAATCCCTTCCTAAGAAGCCTTTGCTCTCCTCACATTCCCATAATGGCAATGCCCATCATTTGTCTCATAAACAGAATCAGTTTGTAWTTTTTTGGCATAATGAAGAAACAGCCTAAAGTAAGTATTTTGTTTGCTTCYACCACTCATTAAACCTCTCAGGCGTATCAGCACACATCTCTTAGGACAATCTCTGTGCTGAAACTCCAGCCCCTGCTCTGTGGGATATAAAACCTTCCTCYTGCTGCTACAGCCTCTGCCTGGCGACTGTTCTCCTGAATAATTGATACCCAAGGCTGGTGTGGACGGGGCAGGGATGGAGCAGTGGGTGTGTGGTTACAGCGAGCACAGCTCCGGGTGCTGCTGCCAGGGAAACTCCTGGAGAGGGGCCCTGAACGAGGGCAGCAGCTCCAACCACAGGATCCCCAAATTCTCCTCAGAGCAKCAGGTTTTAGTGGGGATTGCACAGCAAAGTGCTCCAGCAATTACAGCCAGGCTGGGAGAGCTGGAAATGTTCCCCTGGAGAAGGGAAGATCCAGGGAGAGCTCAGAGCCCCTTTTGGGGCCTGAAGGGGCTCCAGGAGAGCTGGAGAGGGACTGGGGCCAAGGGATGGAGGGACAGGACCCAGGGAATGGGGTCACACTGCCAGAGGGCAGGGATGGGTGGGATATTGGGAATTCTTGGCTGGGAGTGCCCAGAGAAGCTGTGGCTGCCCCTGGATCCCTGGCACTGTCAAGGCCAGATTGGACATTGGGATTTGGAGCAGCCTGGGATAGGGGAAGGTGTCCCTGCCCGGTCATCCAGTGCCACCCCTGCCATGAGCAGGGACACCTCCCACCATCCCAGGGTGCTCCAAGCCCCAATGTCCAACTCGGCCTTGGACAGTGCCAGGGATCCAGGGGCAGCCACAGCTTCTCAGGACAATAAATATTTTTCAAGGGAGTGCTGGCAAAGACCAAATTCCCTGTTCCCCCTGCAGACTGGGAACAGCCCCAGCTCAGCACTGACCCCTTCCCTTTAAGGAAGGCGAYTCCCAGCAGAGCCAGCACTGCCGCCTGTGCCCGCTGGCACTGCCCTGGCTCTGTGCCACACAACGTCACCCTCGTGACCTCCATGAGTCAGGAGTTCAATCCCAACTTTCAGTTCTCACTAATCCAAAGTCCAGGCCACAGGCAGGTCAGWAAGGGAGCCTCCCAAAGCTGGACTTGGTGGAGCAGGGACAGCCTGTCCCAGCACACCTGGATCAGGCTCACTGCTACGTGAGGCTTTGGGCTTTTGCTTTTCAGTCCCACAGGTACCAAGGGCATAAGGAATATAAAATCTCCCTGAATCACAAGCACCTTTGCTAGTTTAATTAGCCTGAGTGCTTTCTAATTATCACACACATCCTCACAGCGAAAGCTGAGGCAAACCCTTCCAAAGGTTTGGGTTAGTACAAAACCTCCACGTGGATAACAGGGATGGTGGAAGTCCTTACTGTGAGATAAGCGTGGAAAACAGCAGGGCCTGAACCCTCCTGGCACGGAAAACCTGCAGCCTCTGCTCGGGCATGGTTCACTCCAGGAGAAATTTACCCCTCTGCAGAGCACCAGCACCATTGATCCCACCGAAACCCTTTGGAATTCGGGTGAAGTGGGGATTAAGTGATGCATACCTTCAGCCAGCCCACTGCACAGGGGTGATTTTCATCTTCAGTGTGAGTTTTCCCTAAGTAAATGGAGCAACATTTCACAGTTATTGCTGGTGTCCATTGATCAGAGAGAAATAAATGCCTGAAAAAAATTCTGTGGATACACCCAGTTCTCAAAATGAAACTGAAGAGGTGAAAGTTCTGCAGATGGCATTTTATTGGCATGAAGGGATGGAAAACTGAAATTTTTAAGGCAAGTGGAAAATGGAAACAACAGTTTACATGTGCATGTCATTAGTAACAGAACAGTGCTTGTGCATTCAGCCACTCAGGAGACAGTGACTTGCTGGCCCCAGTAAAACCAGGCTTTAGAAAGGTGAGTGCAGGAATTAAGCACCTTCAGGGAAGTGCAGCTCACTCACAGCAAAACCAGCTGGATGTTAACTGAAAACACCAAACAACAGTCATTTCCTCCAAAACTGTTACCTGCTTCCAGACACTCCACAAGCAGAGCAGACGTTACATTTGTCAGGTGAAGTATTCATTAAATGTCATTTGTTCAGTTCTATTTCTGTACATTAGCAAGTGACACTCCTGGAGTCCCCCACACACTGCAACTTGCAGGATTTAAAGCTCCCTGCAATCCTGAGCCCCTCAAGCATTCCCARTTATTAACCCCAAACATTTCTGGTTTCAAACTTAATAAAGCACGTACTTCTCATTAAGGACTATTTACATGCCACGATTGAAGTGTCAAAGTTCAGCCGAGTCTGAGCTATCCCTGTGGAAAAAAAGGGTCACAATTTTTTTCARTGGGTAAAAAAATAAATGTCTTTTATTCACACTCAAAGAAAAAGCTTTTCCACCCAAAAGTGAACGTTTGGTGAAGTTATGAGGGTAGAATAATAATCAATGGGATAATTACAGAGCTGACTCCTGGCTGGTTTAATTCCCACTAAAGGCAGAGCATTCCCAGTGTCCAGCACTGGGATCAGGAGCTGCTTCCTCCCTGTTCCACCCTGAGCTCCTGCAGTGGAGTGCAGGCTCCCAGAGCGGGGGAGCGATGTCACATCGAGAGTGTCACACTGAGAGTGTCACAGTGGGAATGTCACACAGGGCATGTCACACTGAGAGTGTCACACTGAGAGTGTCACACCGGGCATGTCACACTGAGAGTGTCACACTGAGAGTGTCACACCGGGCATGTCACACTGGGCATGGCACAGTGTGTCACACTGAGCGTGTCACACCAGCGTGTCACAGCGGGTATGTCAGTGTCACACCGGGCAGGTCACACTGGGCACATCAGTGTGTCAAACTGAGCGTGTCACACTGGGCATTGTCACACCGGGCACATCACACGGGTGTGGCAGTGTGTCACACTGGGCATGTCACACTGAGTGTGTCACACTAGGCATGTCACAGTGTCACACTGAGTGTGTCACATTAGGCATGTCACACCAGGCACATCAGTGTGTCACAGCGAGCATGTCACACCAGGGGTGTCATACTGGGCATGTCACAGTGTCACACTGGCCACATCACACCAGGCATGTCACACTGAGCATTGTCACACCAGGTGTGGCACTGTGTCACAGCGGGCATGTCAGTGGCACGCTGGGCATGTCACACCAGGCTGTCACACTGAACATTGTCACACCGGGCATGTCACACTGGGCACATCACACTGAGCATGTCACAGTGTCACACCAAGTGTGTCACAGTGGGCACGTCACACCGGGCACATCAGTGTGTCACACCGGGCACATCACACTGGGTGTGTCACTGTGTGTCACACTGGGCACATCAGTGTCACACTGGGCATGTGATACTGAGCATGTCACAGTGTCACACAGTGTCACACTGGGCACATCACACTGATCATGTCACAGTGTCACACCGTGTCACAGTGGGCACCTCACACTGATCATGTCAGAGTGTCACACCGTGTCACAGCAGGCACGTCACACTGTGTCACACTGGGCATGTCACACTGATCATGTCAGAGTGTCACACCGTGTCACACTGGGCACATCACGCTGATCATGTCACAGTGTCACACTGTGTCACAGCGGGCATGTCACACTGATCATGTCAGAGTGTCACACTGTGTCACAGTGGGCACCTCACACCGTGTCACACCGTGTCACACTGGTCACGTCACACCGTGTCACACCGTGTCACACCGGGCACCTCACCCGGTGTCACACGTGTCACACTGGCCACGTCACACTAATCATGTCACAGTGTCACACTGGGCACGTCACACGGATCATGTCACTGTGTCACACCGTGTCACACTGGGCACATCACACGCTGTCACACCGTGTCACACCGTGTCACTGGCCACCTCAGCCGGTGTCACAGCGCTGCCCCGGGCAGGCCGAGCAGGGCGGGGGCGGCGCCGGGGGCTCCTACCTGCAGGCCGGAGATGGCAGCGGGGTACGGGGACAGGGCGCTGGAGCCCAGGTTCCTGCCCAGCAGGGGGGTCATGGGCGTGGCGCTGGACGTGTGCGTGGCTCTCCAGTACGCCTCCAGGTACTCGGCCAGGTGCTCRCAGGCGTCCTCCAGCTGGTTCTCRTCCAGGATCACGTCAAACATGTCCTGGGCACAGGGACACGGGTCAGAAATGGCCGGGGGACACGGGGAATGCAGAGCTTTGTGTCACACTGAGCTTTGGGATTACTGAATAATGGGGTGGCAGGAGGGAGCTGGCAGGATGGAGAGGGGYTTTTACAACAGCATGGGGTGACTGGGGGATGGATTTACGTGGATTCATATGGATTCACATGGATTCACATGGAAACACAGCAGGGATGGAGGGAGATGRGGAAGGMATTCCRCCCTCTGAGGGTGGGGTGGCCCTGGCACAGGGTGCCCAGAGAAGCTGTGGYTGYCCCTGGATCCCTGGCAGTGCCCAARGCCAGGTTGGAYGGGGCTGGGAGCAGCCTGGGATAATGGRAAGTGTYCCTGCCCATGGCAGGGGGTGGYACTGGATKGGCTTTAAGGTCCCTTCCAASCCAAACCATYCCATGATTGTGTGGCTGGAAAAGAAAATGGTACAAGTGGCTTTAGARGGTGACCAGGAGCCAAAGCCCTCAGAGACACTGCACACTGTCCCTGGGTGTTGCATGAGCCCTATTTTACTCCAGGGTACAAAACTCTCAAATGAATTCATTTCTTTCCAGTGCTAAGCCCTCAAAACATTCCCACAGCAGGGAAGGCAGCGAGCAGCCCTGACAGGAGCAACATTCCCTCTTCAGGGATTCTTCAGGCAGCAGCTCCACGTGCTGCTCTAACTGCCTCCATCCCTCAAACCTGCCAGAACCAGCACAGCCCCTCGAGACAAACACAACCTTATTTGCAGCAGCTCAACTTCCTATCTCATCTCTCATCTTAACTTTGCAAAATACTGCAAGAAYAGCACAGGAAATGGAAAATAAAAGTGCAGGTGCTGCGGGTGTAAAGGGCGACCAACACCAGCCACAGGCTGTTTTCTTCCACCTGTTTTTACAGCTCTCAGAGTAAGATTTAAAATAATAAAAACATGTTTTAAATTTATTCTCTCTTCTCAGCCCAGCAGAGAAAGGCTCCCCCCTCTGCCAGAAAGGAGGAGTTTCCTTCTAATCAGAATATTCCTAACACTGCATCCCTTCATCCAGTTCAGTGTTTGTTGCTGTTCCTTTGCTCCTCTCTTTATTTGCTGCTTTTACCCCTTTAACTCTTCACCCACATGCTGATGCACCACACATTTCAGTCCATCACTCACTTGGGGATAAAACACAGTTAAATTAGCAAATAAAAGAGTGTGGTTTGCTTACACATGCTTTGGAATGGATTTAGAAGAGATTGAAATTAAACATTTGGAATAAGTGTTTTTTAAAATAAAGAATTACACTGGGTTTAGGATCTTAACAACTGTCACTTTTTTTGTATTTTACTGTCCAGTAATACTGAACTGGGGCCTTTCAGGCTGTCCTTGGAGGTCACCTGGAGGAGCTGCAGCCCTGGCAGGATCCTGACTCAGTGTCTGACAGGGACAATAAATGACAGAGCAAACACTCAGGTTTTCTCTTGCATTTAACAATTCTGCTCACAGCTCAGTGGGGTTTGCTTTATTTGGCAGAAATCCCTTTTTAGGGAGATCCCTGTTTGTGAGGGTCATGGAGTAAAGCAATTGCTCTGCAATATTTTCTTACAACATGTCCAGAAWTGACCACAGGAGCATTCCCAGCTCCTTTGATTCCCCAGGGATACCCAGTGGTGTGTCCTACACAGTAAATCAGTGGCCACTCTCCTCTGCTATTTCTTTTGGTTTGCTGTAGCAGCACTGAGTATCTGAGAGGAGAAGGAATTTCACCTTGTAGTTATATCTATTATATTTGAATTAATCAAATTAAATTTMATTTTGTTATTCATTATTCTGCTGCAGTACAATTTCAGTATTTTTTAAGTTGTATCAAACAGAACAGAGGGGTTTGTACCCACTCTTAGCACAGGCATGAATCCAGTTTTAAAAAAATAACAACCACAATGGACTGTTAGTGAGCAGTGCATTTAGAGATGGACAGTTTGTGATTCCTCGAGCCCTGAAATGTTCCTGCAGTGGAGTTCCTGGAGCYCTGCAATATTCCTGGAGTCCTGCAGTGCCCAATGCCAGCTCGAGCAGCATCGGGGGCAGATTAGCAAGGAATTAATAATGAAAGCAGTTCCTGAACTCCAATATGCCCAAAGAGACAGCTATTTTTAAAATGTCTAGACATGCAGCACCAGCTCATTCCTTAAGGCTGGCTCTCAGCAAAGGAACAAAGGGAGGATTGCATCCTCTGCAAGGAGCTTCCTTTAAACAAATCCTCCAAATTCGCCTCTTTCAGGGACTGGAGCTGCAAAAAGGAGAGAGGGAGCAGTGCCTCTGCTCTTAGCCATGAACTTTTACTTAATTAAATCATGGATCAACTTGAATTTCGAGCTAAGGCAGACTGTCACCTCCCTGGGAGAGCTCTAAGTCAGCAGTCACTTCCTTCCCATCACTGGTGCAAAGTGCTGAGTTGGTTTGTGAGCAGCTCCTGTGCACGGCAGGGCAGGGCAGGGCTGGGGGCACGGCTCAAATGTGCCACCCTGACATCTGGAAAGGCTTTTCTGATCCAGTGGGGCCTCACCTGCTTGCCTTCAGCACTGGAATGCAATTGCAGGGCTCAGGAGATCCAGGGTGGACAATCCCAGTGCCACRATGCACCCAACAAGCTGCAGCAGCACACGGATCACATCATGGAATCCCAAAATSCCACAAGTTTGGGATGGACAGGACCTTAAAGAGGATCTCATCCACYCCCTGCCATGGGTAGGGACACCCTCACTGTCCCAGRGTGCTCCMAGCCCTGTCCAACCTGRCCTKGGACWCTSCCAGGGATCCACAGCTGCTCTGAGAAACTTCTCYCATTTCAGCTGACGTGAGGAAAGCAAAGCTGAACAAGAGGAAATCACTGCATAAAGAGCAAAAAAAGGCTGTGAGACTGCCCAGGGTGCCAGAGGGAACACAGCTTTCACACAGCACAGGGTGCTTTGTGTGTAAACTCAGCTTAAACTCCACAGCAAAGCCCAACCCAAACCAGGGCAGCTGCAACTGCAGCTCCTCAGCTCACACCCATCAGGAACTGGGAAGGGATGTGATTTAGAGAAATCACTGTGTTCTCCAGGAAAATCACAATCCTGGTTGGCTCAGAGGGACCTGAATGGCTCWCAGGGATTGCACATCAGCATTTTAAGAAATCAGAATGTAGAAAAAATTCCATGTGAGAAATGTAACCCAGCTGAGCTCTCCAGAACGGGCTGCCCAGAGAAGCTGTGGCTGCCCCAGGTACCCAGTGGGGTCCCTGCACTCCCATCCCAATATCCCACAGATCCCACACAGATCCCACACAGATCCCACATAAAACCATATCCAAGCCCATTTGCACTGCCTCTCCCAGAAAAAACAGGTGTGGCTTTCAGAACCAACAGAAGTGTGAGCTGCCTTGTCCCAACCCCTGCCCAGCTTCTCCTGATCCCTGCAGGATTCAGGATTCCAGG